TGGAAATCTCACTAGCTGTTGTATCAAACACATATCTATATGCATCTGTCTCTGAATTCATTTATTTTTAAACTACATAGAGATATACCTAACATACCCACGAATTTCAGCAAGCTCTCTAGTAAGCTCATAGCTATACAAGTAATAAAAGTACAGTATTGAGGCTATAACATCAACAGTTCTGTTATTCAAATTTTTGAGACGACTAATGCTAGCTGAGGAATAAGCTTTGGCCTAAAATAAACAATTAAAGTAACCTCAGCATATAATAAATCATCACTCGTTAATTAGCATAATATATAAAATATATTTATATATGTATTTAAATTTGAAATTAGCTATTAATTTTAAAATGAACAATGATTATGTTAATTCAATTAAATTAAAATATAAAGAAAAAAGGGACTTGTGAGATGAAAAAAAATTAATATTTAAAAGTAAAGTTTTTATCTTTGAAATAAAAAGTTTATTTGATACAATATAAAATATATTTATATAGAAATGTAAAATTGAAATTAGTTATTTAATTGTAAAATAAAAAAAAATTATACAATTTCAATTGTATTAAATAATGATGAAAAAAGTATTAAAAAAAATGACTCGTGAGATGAAGAAAGAGAAAAAAGAAAATTTTGACGCAATAATGACCCGTGAGATAAAAAAAATTATTTGATGCGATATAAATGTATTTAGATACAAATGAAAAATTTAAAATAATTTACTTAATTGTAAAATGAATAATAATCATATAAATTTAGTTATATTAAATGAATATATAAAAAGGAAAGAAAAAAAAGATAATCGTGAGATGAAAACAAAAATTAATATTAAAAAAATAAGGATTTTGTCTCTTAAATTAAGATAATGATTTATTAAAATAAAATAGATATTATGTTGGCAGTGACCCGTAAGATAAATATATAGTGTTATTTTATTAAAATTAAAAATAGATTATTAATATTTTCAATGATATTTTATTTAGTCCTTCTGGTGTTATTTTATTTCGGCGTGTCGTTTGTGGGAATTATGTAAGAAACTATAGCCTTTAATATTAATATAATATAATTGATAATAATAATAATAATTTGATTATTATTATTATTATTATTATTATTATTATTATTATTATTATTATTATTATTATTATTATTATTAATATTATTGGAATAAAAGAAATAAGGAATAAGAGTTATAAGGGGGTATTAGTGAGTTTTAGGTAAGGAGGAAAGAAAGAACACGATAAAGAAGAGTGGGGAGAAAGAGTGAAGAGGAAGAATAAGGAAGGAAGAGAAACAAGGAAGAGCAATCAGATTCGTAGGAATTCTTCAACGATCGAAGCGATTAATCGAGGTAAGGGGGGAGAAACTGATTGGGATTGGTAATTGCATGAATTAGGTAGTTGGGGATTCTTTAACCCCATAGGGATTTAATGATTGTGATTAGTATGGTGTTGTGTTTCTGATCATTGCTGTCATGCTAAACTCCTTGCATGTGATTGTATAAGGATTGTTTGGGTGGTTCTGAGTAGTTTACCGTTTCGGGTCAAAAATGATTTAATCGGTATAATTGATGTTTTATCGGGTAAAATCGGAAATAAGTCGTGTAGTTTAGTCGTAGCATGTTAGGCTAAGACTAGTGGGACTGGTTTGGTGAGAATCGGACGATTTTTGAGCTTCTGATGAATTTCTGAACAGTGAGGATTTTGTGAAATCGCAGACGTTCCCCAGCACCTTCGCTGAGCGAGCTAGTAGCGAGAATTTGCTAGGAATTCGCTAGGTGAGTTGGGTAGCGAGTACTTCCAGTAGCCATTGTCTGCCTTCGCTAGCAGGTTCGCTAGGCGAATGAGGCAGCGAGCGTTCGCTGAGGCCTCGCTGGGCGAGTAAGCCAACGAGCGTGACAGGAATGTGATTTTGGGCAGTTTTGCTCTATGATTCGTTTTGTGGGATTCCTTGGGCTGTGACACGTAGAGAGATGGTGTTTAGTGGTGAGGAGTGTATACCTGGTGTTGAAAGGTGAAATTATGAATTATAGAATTTAATTGACATAATTAATTGGTGGGTAAGACATATATATGTAATATGTATATGATGCATAGTGAGGTGATCGAGAGAATCGTATGTACTCGGTGTTCAACGTAAATTTCGCTATTATTTAATTTGATTGACATAATTGATTGGTGTGTATATATATGTGTATATATGATGTATGGTGATGTGATTAGTAGGATCGTGTGCACTTAGTGTGTTTGATGTTTGTGTGTTGTGCATTTGGTGTTGTGCATATCATGGTGTCTTGGTGGGATGGATCATGTCTCAGGAGGAGCGTAAGTGATCCATCCGTACTCCTTTGTGGAGAATGGTGGGGTTGAATCATGTCTCAGGGGGAGCGTAAGTGATTCACCCGTACTCCTTTGTGGAGAATGGTGGGATGGATCATGTCTCAGGAGGAGCGTAAGTGATCCATCCGTACTTCTTTGTGGAGAATTGTGGAGTTGAATCATGTCTCAGGAGGAGCGTAAGTGATCCACCCGTACTCCTTTGTGGAGAATGGTGGGGATAGATCATGTCTCAAGAGGAGCGTAAGTGATCTATTCTAGGGTTCGATTGAATGAACCATTGAGTCGGTACCGCATGCATGGTGTTGAGTTGCATTCTTGAATTATTATATGTTGTGTTGATGATTGGACAGTAGGTCGTGTTTGATGTTGGTGGGGTGATGATTTGTTTATTTACTGCCTTTAATCATGTATTTTATTACTGATAATTTTGATCATGTTTTCTCACCCCTTGTTGTTGTTGTGGTCTGTGCTTCTTCGGAAGTACAGATAATCCAGGTGCATAGCTAGCTTGGATAGTGGTGTGCGGATCGAGTCTTAGGATGCTCTGATACGTAACACGGGACTTAGGCGTTTACTTTTATTATGATTAGATTTGTTGTATTCTTGTGGCGTATCTTATTTTGATGAATTCTCTTAATGAATATTTTATGTAAATTGGCGGATGACCCAGAGTGATGTATTAATGATTGTTTCCGCTGTATATTTTGAAAATCATCTAATGAAGTGTTTTGTTGAAATTTTGTGAATGTGATATCCCACTTTTGGAAGGGAAACTCTAATATTTATTTGATTTAATCGTATTTTATTTTAACTTGGAAAAGTGGGGTGTTACAGACAAACCCTAACACGATGGAGTGAGGGATATGGCAATGTTGTTTGGGTAAATCAGAGCGTCTTTTATCTAACAAAGACTAAACCAGAATTACAAACAACACTTACAATAACCTCACCACTCAATAGGCTTTTTAACTAACTAATGGGTTGTGTCTCTAATTAATTTTAGGAAGAAAATTTTACCCCATACCCCTACAATTATACCCATACCCCTATATTTAAAAAATAATACCAATTTTATTCCTGTCTATTTTTTATTTTTTTATTTTTTTACTTTTTACTATCCTGTCAGATTTTCAGAGTTCTAGAAAATTCACCCATCGAATCGTCCAAAACACTTTTAAAATGACTTCCGGTATGTTTTTTTTTCCAAATCGGAAGACTTTGGCTAAGATTCCGGTTTATACAAAATATATATCGGAAGAGTTAAACAAAGACTTCCGATTTGTGTTTTACGTAGAATTATTACCGGAACACTTGTCTTCAGAGTTCCGGTACTTGTAAAAAGTGTTCCTGTACCGGAACACTTTTTACAAGTCTTCCGGTTTAGTATCTTTTGCTACCAAAACTTTTTTCCTGAGTCTTCCGGTTTGCTTTAGTACATTTTTTTTAATTTTTTTTATGCAGGTACAGAAATTCCTTTACAAATATGCGATAAAGATCAGATATGTGTAGATACGTCTGATGTTTTTTCAACTACTCAAAGATTTGGTACACGAGAAGAGGTGATAAAGTAACGGTTATCATCACTCGTTCAAATATTGAAACAGGCAAGAGAGGAAGAAGTAACAAATTAATATTTGGATGTGATAAAGGTGGAAAACACAAAGATATTGATAGTGGAACCCAGAGTGTGACGAAAAAATGTGGATGTCCATTTAGAATCAGATCAATTCCAGCGACTGATGGATCTGGATGGAAGATTGATGTAAAATGTGTAGTTCATAATCATGGTTTACCTTATAGATTAGAAGGTCACACATTTGTTGGTAGGTTGATAGCGGATCAGAAGCAACATGTTGTTGATTTGACAAAGAGAAAGGTTTCACCTACACATATATTGCTTTCATTGCAAGAGAAAGATCTAGATAATGTCACTCGTATCACGCAAATATACAAGCAGAAGAGTATGATAGAAAAAAATATATGAGGTCCTAGAAGTGAGATACAACACTTGTTTAAGCTTATTGAGGATGCAAGTTATGTTTATTGGAGTAGAAAAAGTGATGACTCTAAAGTTATTAGAGATATATTTTGGGCTCATCCAGATTCAGTTAAGTTGTTGAATATTTTTCCTATTGTGTTAGTTATGGACAACACTTACAAGACAGACAAATATAGGCAACCACTGTTTGAAATTGTTGGCATGACATCAACCAAGTTGACTTTTGCTGTCGCATTTGCGTATATTGAGTCTGAGCAGACTGAGACTTTTCGTTAGGTGTTAGATAAGCTTAAACAATTGTTTATGAAGAAAGATTTGTGTCAACAAGTGATTTTGACAGATAGAGATCTTGGTTTGATGAAAGCCATTGAAATCGTGTTTCCAAGGTCGATGAATTTGCTATGTCGATTTCATATTAACAAGAATGTTGGTGCAAAACGGAAACAATATGTGGCTAGTGACAAGCAAAAGAATGACGAATTATGGACAGATGTTGTATGGGCTAGTGATGAGGTTGAGTATGATCAAAGGTTGAACTAACTTGAGCTAGCGTGTGTTGATTATAATGAAATTATTGATTATGTGAAGGACATATGGTTGACTCCACATATGCAAAGATTTGTTGGAGCATGGATTAATCGAGTGCTACATTTGGGTAACACCATGACTAATCGGTATGTATTTATTTTTAGTATTTCTAAATTGTATATCTTTGTTGTATTTTTTAAAAATATTTTTAATATGTATTAATTTTAGGGTTGAGTCTGCTCATTGGAAGTTAAAGCAAATGTTGGGGAACAGTAATGGTGACATGATCAAATGTTGGGAGGCTATGAATGACAACTTAAAGTTACAACTACGCAATATTAGAGCTTCTTTTCAAAAGAGTTTTTATGAAGTTGAGCACGCCCACGTAAGTCCATTTTACAATAATTTACGTGGTTCAGTGTCTCGAGATGTATTGAGACGTATTTTTGAAGAGTTAAAACGAGTTGATTATGTTGGAACTAACAAGGAAATATGTCGTTGTACTCTTAGAACAACCTACAGATTACCTTGTGCTTGTGAGTTGACAGGATATAGAATTGATGGTATACCGATACCAATAGATGTTGTGCATGTTCATTGGAGAAAACTAAGTATGGAAGTTAAGTTGGACGAAGACGTAGATGATGGATCAGATTTGGATATGAGTAGTGCAATAGATGAGTTATGGAAAAGGTTTAAGTCACTGGATGTTGTTGGGAAAAGGGCATTAAAAAGTAGGGTTTTTGAACTTGCCTTCCCCACAATGACTTCTATGTGTCCACCACCTGAGAAAATAAAAACTAAAGGGGGAGTCAAGAAGAAAGGAAAAAAACTAGTAGGGTATGATGTTTATAGAGACCCTTCGTATCATGAGTATGTTGATCAAGCATCTCAATCTTCACAGAGGCAATCTCAACCATCACAGACTTCGAAGAAGTTGAAATTATCAAAGTCTTCACAAAAGAAATCTCAACCATCACAGGCTTCGAAGAAGTTGAAATTATCACAATCTTCATAGTCATCTAAGCAGTTCATCCTTCAGTTTACTAATCACATCAAGTCATATATTCATGATGTAGTTAATGTTGTATCAGATGGTAATTTTGGATTTAAAGTCATTGCTTCATTGCATGGATATGGTGAAGATGGTTGGTCAATGGTTCGTCGAGACTTGGGGTTGGAAATAATACATAATGAAAGATCAAGTTTGTATGCCAATTTATTTACTGATTAGTTAGCAGTACTGAGAGAATCTTTGATGATAGAGGAATTTGGTCCTCAACCACCACATAAATGGTTAACTCTACCAGATATGGGTTACGTGATAGAGAATCGTTATAATATTGTACTTGTCTGCATTGGTTTTGTAAACACAAATGTAGCATTTTACTGCATTGGTTTTGTAAACACAAATCATTGGATTCAAGTACTTAGTTACTTTTAGATAATGTGATTAAACCTAATTCTTTTTCGTTATTTTTAGTTAATATTTTGATTATTTTTTTATTTAGGTAAACATGAAAGAAGGGTTTCCATTACCACCAGTGACAGTAGATTGGAAGAAGTTTCGTTCTCCAGCAGCCACATCTTGGATGCTAGGATTTGCAGGACGTCTACAATATTGGCAACAACTTACGCCTTTATTACCAACGCATTATGAATTATAAATTATGTTACTCATTTTTAATTTCAAAACATGAATCATGAATTATGTTATGCATTTTTAATTTCAAAACATGAATCATGAATTATGTTATTCTTTTTTAATTTCAAAACATGAGTCATGAGTTATGTTATTCATTTTTAATTTCACACTACAAGTTAACACATAAACATAAATCAACTAGGTCAAATGAGTCTAAAAGTTAACACATAACCATAAATATAAGTCAATACATCTAAAAGTTAACACATAACCATAAATATAAATATAAGTCAATGTGATCGAGCAATATGTAAAGCTTCGAACAACTCAGCAAACTGTGGATCATCCTCTTCAGCACCAGCCTGTTGAAGATAACGATGAATCAATGAAGACACACGAGCCCAGCTAGGATCAGATGGTCCTGCTTCATAAATAGGAACTGACACCTCTCTTGGCGCATCACGATGGGGGGTACCAGACGAGGATGTGAAACACGATAATACCACTGAAGATATCCATCATCTGTCTCATATGGGGTGGTGGTCGGTGCTGTCGGACAATCACATCTTGAACGCTCTGATGGTAACTAATCCAGTCAACATCAATATCACCAGCCATCGTATAATCAAGAGGTGGTTGTGGAACATACTGCATGTATCCAAACTGACGCATACATTTTTCAGGCAAGTATGGAACAATAGTGTCACCCCACCTCAGACACCCCTTATATAAATATAACTCATCAAACTGACGTCATACTCTATGATTCTCGAATGGGCACCATATGACATTGGCAAGTGTCAGCTCGTCCAGAATAGGTCGCAAGTCATCCACCTTCAGGACACCTTGCCTATAGGATCATCTCATCGCTCGAGGGAGACCCACATTATTAGCTGGTATCCAATTCTCTCCTTTTTTTTCCAAGTGTTGGAAAATACTCATGAATCCAACACTGTTACAAATTTAATACTGTTACTAAATTTAAAATAATTAATTATAACATAATAAACTAGATAAATAAAATTAATATACTAAATAAAATTAATTAAAACAAAATATACTAAATTAAAATAAATACATGTAGGAGAGTCGGATAACCACTGAGCTGCTTACAACTGAACATGAAAGCATCTCCGAGATATCTATAAAGGGTACCCAACGCAGCTGCTCCCCAACTGTATCCTGATAAGCCATCCAAGTCTATAAATAGTGAGAGGTATCGTGCCTCAACAAGCGTAAACGTCTTGTTCGCAAAAATAGTGGAACCCACTAACATCAACAAATAAGCTCTAATCGCATAATCCCATCTAGAAGCATCTTTATGCTCTACAAATCGATCATATAACCACTCCAACTTATAGTAAGAACCTCTGCAGTCACTGACTTATTGTTGTGCTACTCTCTGTGACACTCCTAAGTAATCAACAACCCACTCAACAACAAGCGCTTCACTGATATCTTAAGGGCTCCAGAAGATTCCCCTGATGGGCAAGTGAAGCAGGCAAGAGACGTCATCTAGAGTAATTGTCATCTCACCAAACGGCATGTGAAATGAAGATGTCTCTAGATGTCATCTCTCTGCAAATGCGGAAACCAGGTTCGTGTCTATCTTTGTCAAACTGGTTCTCTGGGGTGAAGCTAGACCAGACCTAGATATCCAACCCTCCATCTCTCTTGCTAGCTGTAGTGGAACCCTCTGAATCAACTTCAACCCATGTCCTGCTACCTTTAACTCTTTCTTCGAACCTCTCTCCTAAAAATAATTAAAAGTAAATATATTATAAAATTCAACATTAAAAATTCGAATTTTATTCAATATTAAATAATTTTTGTTTACTTACCTCACCGAACCATATATGTCTAGCAATATGATGTTCGTACTTAACTAAAAGGGAGGTATCGTACGGTCCTCCTGGATATCCAACAGGCTCGGTTGCTAATGCAGATGCATCAATATGCTCTTCTTCAGCCATTCTTGATGACTCACCCCGTCCTAATCCGCGAGAAGGGATCCTACCGTCTCTGCCTCGTGTGCGCACCACTGCCAATAAAAATTTATAAAAAAAAAATATGAACCGGAAGACTTGCAAAAAGACTTCTGATGAACAAACGAAAAAAAATATGAACCAGAAGGCATACTTAAAGTCTTCCGGTAAACAAACGGAAAAAAACAAAAACCGGAAGACTTACTCTAAGAGTTCCGGTATATGTTTTCTGAACCGGAAGACTTTGCCTAAGAGTTCCGGTTGGTAGGTGGAAAATGATAGTTCCGGAAGTCTTCAAATGCAAATGAAATGAAAAAGTAAAATTTTTAAAATTATAACTATTTATACGAGTATTTTGGTTCAAAAAATTTTAATGTAGGAGTATAGGGTAAAATTTCCTACTGAAAAAATTATAAAAATAATCTTAAATTATAGATTTTAAAATTATGACCCATTTTAGTACAGAACATTTTCATGAAATTAATCAAATCTAATGTTAAAAACAATTTCAAATTTTAACATTCGAAATCTTCTGTGTTATCATGACCATATGCAATTTTAAACACTAACAAAAACTTATCCTAAGTGTATATTTTGATTTTGAGACATTTAGTGACGAGATATGGGTATAGAAACATTTTGTGGTATTTTTGATGGCTACATCTACTTAAGAGACATATTTATACAAGTTTTTGATAAATAAAGATCATAGATACATAATGATCATCCTCCATAATACCTAAAAATAGAACAATCACAACAAAAAAAAACTTAGGCTGTTTTGGATAAACAAAAGCACTTGTATATAAGCTACTTATATAGAAAAACATAAAACTACAAAATAAAAATAATTATGTATAGTATATAACATAAATATGCTTTGTTCATTTTGCAGTAAAATCCACAGGTAATTATGTGGAATTTCCTGCCAAATCTTTTTCCACAGGACACTATAATCATTTGCAAAATTAGCAGGAAAACCAGCTTTTCATTCGGAAGTTGCTGCTAAATCGTAAAATAAATTTTATTTATTAAATTTGCAGGAAAAGGAACCTACGGAAATTATTCTACAGAAAATTCCGCAGATAAATAGAGTATTTTTTATTGTATTAGAAAATAAAATAATTCAAATGGTTAATGATTTTACTTTGAAATATTCAACAGAATTTGAGTTTGAATACTTGCTATAAATATTTTTAATAAAACTAGTAAACTTTTGATTATCATAATTTCTTTTCATTGAAAATCAAAAGTTACGATAAATAAATGTCAGTTATTTTTTTAATTCCTCTGACGACCATAATCGTTGTAAATATGTACAAGTATCAAGTATTATTTTATTTTAGTTGGAAACATATCATAAATATCTAGTATTTAAAAAACTAGAGTGTAGATGGTGTGAACAATCTTTATTGCATATATCGCATACACATGAAATCACAACTTATAATCTATACTTGCTTTTAAAAAAACATGAATTCACAATTTATACTCTATTATGTTTAGTTTTGCTAAAATAATCAACCAAATTTATTTATCAAGTAAAATTGTCTCCTGTCTCCCCTAAATACCATATTATCGACATTGCATACCTATCATACATGTGATTTTAATAATTGAGAAATTATCATTTAAATGAGATTAATTATTATGAACTATGAAAATGATTATTTTTAAATACAATTTTAAAAGTCAAACATAATTCAAGATTTAACAAGTACAATTAAATGATTGTCTAAAATAACTTTAAACTTGTACATAAGTCGACATGCTAATTAAATTTATTTATAATTTAATGAAGTTTTGTTGCTTAAGTGAAAATGGAAATTTATTCAAGACCGCGTCGTCATTTGAGGGACTCTTGACACAAAGGTATGGCAATTTACATCATATTGTATTGAAGGGGGAGGTCACTAGAGGTTCTAACAAATCATCAATTTTGGTGGAACGATATCGTTTCAATAGGTAGGAATTCTCAATTGGGTTTTAATTGGTTCGCGGATAATATTTAAGTTAGGATTGTGAATGGTTCATTGGTTCTGTTGGTTGGTGAGCGTTTCGTCAAGGGATTTGTTTCCGTTGTTATTTCAAGCTTGCGTTTTAAAAGATGCGTTAGTTGTGTATCAAGGTTTTTTGGTACGATGGAAAGTGTCAGTGGCGTCTATTGACTGTCAACTTAGAAAATCATGTCGATCTTCTGCCTCATTATTTGGAGCTGATGAAAATTCTAATAGAAGTATCCACATCCATTGGTATATTTGATGTTTTTAGGTGGAGAAATAACTTAGATAAATGTTTTTCGGTGAATTGTTGCTATTACAAGTTGAATGTTGCGGCTGGAGATGAGATGTACGATGTCAAAGTGATAAAGGCTTTGAAACAGTTTTGGTGCTCTAAAGTCCCTCCCTTCTAAAATCAAGATTTTCTCTTGGAAAATTTTGTTGGATAAGATTCCAACTAGAAACCAACTTGCAAGAAGAGAAATTATTCACTCTAGTTATGATTTAGTTTGTGTTTCCTGTTTTGTCGAAAACGAATCTATCTTTCACTTGTTTTTTGATTGTGGCTTTAGTAACATGGTTTGGTAGAAAGTCTTCACTTGGTTAGGTTTGGAGGAGGTGGTCACTTATAATTGTGTTTGAAATTTTATAGTTTTTCGAGAGTTAGTGAAAAGGAAGGTAAAGGGATCCAAGGCGAGTTTAATGTGGATGGTAATGATTTGGAGTTTACAGTTAATGAGGAATGCGTTAATGTTTAACAATGTTATTTCTTCTATTGATGATGTTTTTTTTAATATCAAATTTCTCTCTTGGTTTTGCCTAGTTTATGGTAGCAAAACTAGGGTGAAATTTGATTTTTGTTAGGATTTTATAAACCTGTAATTTGTATTGGGTTTGAGTATTTCTTGTACTTTTTATTTTAATATCTGACTATAAAAAAATATTTATAATTATTTTATTTAAATACCTAACCCATTCTAGCTAGAATACGGCCACATCAGTTTTTTTTCTATACTTTCTTTTTCTATCTTATTTAC